AGAGATTTTCATGTTAAATTTAAAAGTACTTTTCTTCTTCTAAAATTTGCCACATTTACTTTACATAATCTCTAAAACCTCCTAAGTAAATATCAAACGTTTTTACTTCAGAAAAACTTTATATGTTATCTTATTTTCCCTACAATAATTCTATATGGGATCATTTTGACCAATCTCATAACCACCATAAAAAATAAGGAAATCTAAGTTAAAATTTTTTCTTTCTAGAATAATTGCAAATTGTGACAGAAAGCTGCAATTGTTCATTTTAAATAGCTTAAAACTCACAACAGTATATAACTGTTTATACTTAATTTTATTCACTTTAAACTGTGTCTAACTAATCATCCCACCACACAAATTGTAAATCACTCAGCAAACGTGCAAACAGTAATGAATTACATAATTCATGAGATGCTCACAAGATAAATTTTTATTATTTTATTTATTATCTTACCTAATCTAACCTAATAAGTTTCTAATTTTACATGTTAGTTACTTTTGTAATAACGAATAAAGAATACAAATGCAAAAAAAATAGGGTACTTACCTGGGTCTTTTTTATTCTTTTCTGTCACTGAAATTTAATCTACTTTTTTATACTAATAGTACTACGACACTCAATAATTTTTTATTTGAATAAGTAATACACTTAAGAACACAGAATAATAGCATGCAAAAAGCACACAATATCCTTAATTATCATTCTCTTTTTGACTTTTGAACTACATGATAAGAGCCATTGAAAATTCATCTAAGCTCGTCCAGTGGTAACTGGCAGCAAAATAGAGAACACTATGTACAGAAAACAATGTAATATGATATATGATTTGATAGATTAAAACTTTGGCTTGATTATAAATAATATAGTATGAAACATCAAGTGGGTCTGTTTTCTAGCGTTTGGCACCATAAACAAATAAGATTGAAGGCTATGAAAAGTACGTATTGCCTGATTAATATCTATATTATAATAAGTAACTTACATTAAATTTCCTTACATCTTGGAGGGATAGTAAATACATTAGAGAAGAGAGCAAATGTCACAATTCTCATACTAAAGAGTTTGAGGATTTTTTAAAATATTTCCTTATAAAACTGAGAACTTAAAACTTACATAATATTAAAATGAGGTTGGTCAAATTTACCATCCGTGTACAGAGTTATGGTAGAAAAAATAAATAAAATATAAAGTTTTACTGAAAATAAACATTTGAAATGTATTTAGTAGGTTTTAGAGATTACACATAAGAAATTGGAGATTTTTGGGATGAAGAAAAGAATATTTTAATCTTAACATGAAAACACTTTGCACATGGACTATTCAAAACAAATACTCAATATATTCATGGACAAATCTTTATTTTAGTTTATTAAAAATACTTCACTAAAAAATATGATTTTTTGTATGTGAAAGACTTATAATATTAACTGAAAGACTGCCAAATTTTGTGAAGATATACACACACTATATTGAAAGTTAGAAGTATTAGATATATAAACACTTTAAATGGGTACAAAGAGGTCATGTGGCACTGAGCCTGTTTTAAGAGACTGAATAAGTATTTATAATGGTTGGAGACGGCTTGAATGGGTAATGAAGAAAAACTTTAATATAAGTTTATCACAACAGCAAATGTACAACGTTTTGACAAGGTTTTGTCATCATCAAGTACAATAAGTATTTGCATATAAACTGCATATTTGTTAAAGAATATTAAATTTTTTATAAGTGAACATGTTCCTTCTCTGTATTAAAAGTCAACATGATAACCACTAATGTTGAAATCTGTAATGTTGTTTATGCTGTAATAAAATTTGTGTGATTTAAATAAAAAAGGTGTGTTTGGTATACACTGTCGTAAACAAGTGGATAAATTGCCTTTGTTTTTTTTATATTCTGATGAAGTATCAATAATTTGAGAATTTCAGAATAATACAAGAATAATTTTTAAAATTTCACATATTATTATATATAATAGTTTAACCCTCTCACCACGGACTTCTTTTTCTGCACATGTCACGATGATTTAACGAGTTACATTCAAAATTTAATTAAAGTACATTCTTTTCATGGCATATCAATAAATATGGCTTAAAAATGTAGCTAATAATTAATATTTTAATAGTATACAAGTTTAAGTTCTTACTTTTATGAGGCAGTATTAAAACAAAATCTAGAATTTCTCCTAGTGTGACATTTGTTTTCTAGGCATCATCTCTTCTCTAATTTATATACCACCCCTCCAAGAAGTACAAAATTTAATCCAAATTACTCGTTATAATATGAGCATCATTAAGGCAAAGCATAGTTTTCATAGCCTTTAATCGTATTTGGTTACAGAGCCATGAAATAGACAATCAGACCTCTCTTACCACACCCACTTGTCACATCCTCTGTTTCAGAAATTGCCAATTGCTCTCTCTGCCATTCAATGCTATATTATTTATAACCAATAGAAAGCCAAGATTTTTATTTATCAAATGAGATATTTTATTACGTTTTGTTTTGTCAATTTTGCTTTCAGTTCAAACTTGATTCCCACTGGAAACACTTTGACAAGTTTTAATGGTTTTTGTCGTATAGTTGGAAAGCCAGAAAAATTGCAATAGTTATGAGAGATTGTCTGTTATTATCCTGTGTTCTTTAGTGCATTATTTAATTAAATAAAAAAAATATTTATTGCAGTACTACCATTAGTATAAAAAAGCAGGGTTAAGTGTCATCAACAGTTGACAGCAAAAAAGAAAAGACCCAATTAAGTACTTTTTTCTTGTTTTTCATTTGTATTATTTATTTATTATTATAAAAGTAACTAAAATGTAAAAATCGGAATCTCTTTCAGGTAGTTAAAGTTAGATTAGGTGAAATAAATAATGATATAATAAAAAAATTTAATGATGTACACTTGCAAGCAGCTGGCGAGTAGCTCATATTTAATGTAATTCAATAGTATAACGTGAGATGCACATTTGCCAAGTGAGTTACAACTTATAATGGAAAGAATAGTAGTTATATATAGTCCAAATGGCAATAAAATAGTAAAATTTAAGTATGAATAGATTTATGCTGTTATGAGTGTAAAGCTACTTAGGATAAACAAATGTAGTTTCATATTACAATTTGGAATTGTAGAAAGAAAAAAGGGTATTTTGGATTTATTTTGATATTTTTTTGGTGGTTACGAGGTTAGTCAAATTGACCAACCTTGTAGAAATTTAGGGTATAGAAAATAACAAATAGCAAAAACGTCTGAAATTTATTCTGAAGGTTCAAGAGAATATGCAAATAAA